CCGGGCTTCATTAAGCGTCCCTGATTTTCAAAAGCCATGTCGCAGGTCCCCGACGGCGAGTGTGCGTGCTTCTCTAGTATCGAATTCGGACCACGCGATGCTCGTCTCGACAAGGAAGGGCTTGACTACTCGAGGTTTCTGGAGATCGCGCCCATGTTAACGAATCAAGCTGGTGTGATAGGACAGGACGCCGAGTCCTTATCGCACAGTCTTGAGGTGAAGATGCGAGAACTATGCGATGGGTACGCACACCTGAATCGTCTTGCAATGGAGGCTCCGTTGGGCATCGCTAGTGCGGCGTCGTCCCACACGTGCCGGATCGCCGGCGGAAGGCGATCTATCTTAGATGCTATCTCAGGCTGGGACGCGGAACGTCATCGAGCTATCATCGATGAATTACGAGATGCCAAGCAAGATCTTGACATGCGGACCGAAGCGATTGAGGCTAGAGCACGCCCAACAGGGCGACGACGTCGGACCGTCACACAGGCAAGCATGTGCGACACCAAAGCAAGGGCCGCAGGGCGGATGAGCACAGAACAGCTGCTTCACAGCGTGTCGCTCCGCACGTATCGAGGCGGTTGCCATGGAACATCATCGCTCGCTGGTCGGACCAGACCCGCCACGCCAATAGCAGCCGCCACAAAGACGAAGTCTGCCGCATTATCTCTGAAACGTCAGATAGTGTCTGCTTCTAAGGTTGCTGCGGTAAAGAAGCGGTACAATAATTCTGTCGCAGCTGTGGCAACGCCGGCCGAATCCGCAGAAAGGATCGACACCGTTATAAAGGCGGCACGGCGTGCCGCCTGCGATGCAGAGCGCGTCGCCGGCGATGTGCCCCGCCATGCGTGCGAGCACAAGCGTGCACTTCAGCATAATAGCCCATCGCCATCGGACGCGCTGTGCCCTTGGGACGTCGAATCAAACATGAACGACATTAGCAGCCTGTATGTTGTACGGGTCGCCCAGCCTGAGAACTTTGGTCATGTTTATCCTCATTCCTCGAGTGCGACAAGTAAACCCCTAATGTCCCCGTCGAGGAACCTGAATTTCACCGATGAGGCGGCCTCACACTTTCACAGTCGCAATTACCACGTCGGCGATGAGCTCTTTCTGGCAGCTCCCACAATGCAAGGGCGCTCTTCTTTTGGTGCACTGTCCTTGGACCATGCGCAACCCTTCTCAAGGAACGTGCGACTCCTTACCCACGACTGCGGCCATCCCACACAAGACCCCAACAGAAATATCCTCCAGCACTCTCATGACCTCGCTATTGCAGGCCTCGCTGCGGAGCCCGTGTTTATCCCCGAAGCCTGAGGTTCCAGCTCCATGTGGCTGGCTCCTCCCGTGCTCATACGTGTCTAAGGCGCAAGAGTACATGGGAAGGGCCGTCCCAGGGCCGCCCGCATCGCGCGGTACATTGTTGCGCGTAACGCGCGTATGTAAAGGGATTTAGCTAGGCTACCCTTCACTATAATGGGCACTTGAATCTAGCCCACGTGAAGTTCAAGTCACGATCGCTCGTCATCTGCACCACTTTTTTACAACACATCTTGTA